ATTTACTGCGAACTAACGTACCTGCGGTGGTCGTGTATCTGCATGTGTAGTGGGCGTGGTTTAAACTGAAGTGCTGTCAAACTTACGAACCGGATACTCAATGTACCGTGTCGACTCTGCGGGCGCGTGTGATCAAGTTCAACACAGAGAGCCTCGATTTCGATGCGGATGTGCGCAGACGGCGCTAATGTGAAATCCCTGTATACTCTCACTATTCACGACTTAAATATCTCACTGGTATCTTTATGTACAAATTTACACATAATCGTCTGTCAATCAGCTTCTCTTCTTTCCTTTCTTCAATCCATGATACGCACGCTTATTCCACCAGACTCCGTCACAATTTGTATGTTCCATTCACCCAGATACCGTGCACGATATGGGGCCGATGGGTTACCCCCCCCCGTCCAATCCTTATACACACTCTAGACTATTGTTACCTATAACATCCCCCCTAGAAGTAAAGAATTCCAGAGATTCCGATCAAACAATGATCAACACAAAGGCGGGGGGGGGTCTCTCCGCCCCATATCTTGCATCCTATGTTCACCCGCACCCTGTACTCTAGTTCTACCCTTCGCTTCTATGGTCCCCGTCTGTGGAACACCATTGAGGGAAATCAGAGCAATGCCGTCCGTTGGCCGCTTCAAGTCCTCCTACAAAGAGCTCTCCTCTCAGAATATGTTACATAGCTTCCAATCCTTAGACACTGTCTTCCTTTATTTCATTATCTATTTTGCCTTTACTTCTGTGATGCATCTATTCGTGTTACTGTTCATTTTCACGGTCTTCAACTCTTCGTACTTCTGTTTTGGATATTCAGTCTAGTATTCACTCATTTTTCTTGCCTGTTTTCAGTGTTTTTGTCCTTCGTCCAATTGTCTGTCCTTAGGCAGTTCTCTTCAAGCCCTTGCTTATATGAACAGCTCCATACTTTCTATCTTATCAAGTTTCCTCTATTTTATCTTATTATATTACATTGTACTCATGGCTCGCATTTATTTTACGTGTATTCGTGATTAGTATTTCAATGAACGTTTGAAATAGATGTTGTTTTTGAATTTGAATTTGAAACTGGGGGTTGCAAATTCAAAGTGCCTAGTGGATGGAAAACACAAGGCGTGAATGTTTACAATCGTCTGAATTCCTGACGTATGAAATAGGCGCAGCGAACAAATTGTTAACGCCTCTGTGCTCCTTCCGCTTTTAGAAAGCCGAGAGAACGTGAATCTGTGCAAACTTTCGAGTTTGTGGCATTGCGTCGCCGTATGAGAGACAAAAGCCTTGCATTTTTCCGCGAAACCTATATTGCAATTTTGGAATTCCCAGCCACTTCAGGTAAAATTTGGATTTCTTTTTTTTTACCGCAGGGAGTGTGCATCTTCCTTCTTCACTGCGCTCTCAACGAAGAGGTATGCAGTTTCAGCAACCATCAATCCTCATATCTGACATCTCACATTTTTAGCAATACACTAAATAGCCTTTGTACTGTTTTTTTTTTTTTGAGTCAGGAAATCTTTCCTCGCACTCAGTCGAGCGATGATCGAATTTAAGGACACACAAACATCTTCCACCGAAGTGTTCGTATATTGGGCGTGTTTTGAATTCCTGCCATGCAATGAGCATTGAAAAGGCCTTGTTTGATTAGTTGTTACAATGAAAAGTTTATATTTTGCGTGCGCAAGATCTGTTCCAATATGAAGTTATTTCGATTTGAAGGTATTTCCTAATGTCATGAAAAGCTCGGCACAACGATCTGCTGTGGTATAACTGTGGTGTCTTGCCGTTGATCCCAGTTGAGGGTTAACTGAATCGATTGCGGACGCCCGCGGGGTCAAAGTTCATCTGAGACTAAACAGCACGACTCATGACATTTTCATTTTTTATGCTTCTGAATAAGCCTTTTGCAAATTAAATTTGAATAAAATCTACTACATTGAGTTATCGTATTGCGCATTAACACAACTTGAATTCCCCAGACGAAAGACAATACCTTGATCCGGAGCAAGCTTTTGCATAGCAACCACCATCTCTGGAATGGACTGGTTTCTTTGTGCCCTCCTTATCCATTGAAACAGCGTATTGTTGCAAGACGTCTCTTATATGTAACTAAGCAAAGCTTGCCCCCAATCACAAGGTATAGCAACAGTGGTTTTAGTATGGAGAATTCAAATTGTTACGTTCACGTGAAGTACCCAGTGTACCAGATTTTATTTACAATTAACTCGCAAAAGGCTTATCTTGCCAGCTGGACAGTAAAATTACAGAAAATTACTGATACGTCTTCACGTTCATCGGGCAGAGGGTCTTTGCTACATAGGTATAAATTTCAATTGTGGGTGTCCACTTGTGCACGTGCATGACTGTTCAGCAATTTAGATATGAACATCAGCATCAAATTAATAACCGTTAACCTTAAATGCACCGATCCCTTAGAGCATAGCTCACGTGAACTCACTTAACAAGTGCAGGTTTAGTACAGGTACAAACATAATCAGCCTTACCGGGGTCGCGGTCGTTTCCAAAAAAATGCAGTGTCTATAAAAGTGCTTCTCTTGGAACGGTTTCAGGTCGGCAAGGCCTTCAAGCTTAAGCGTGACAAACTGCGGAAACTCCACTCCTCCAAGATCCATCCCAACCAGGGCCGGACCAGCAAAACTACTGACGATTCCAGGCGGAGTAAACAGAAAAAGAAAGGTGAAGGGATGCCGTTTTTATTTATTATTCACTTATTTATCCTGGGGAAATATCTCAGTGAAACACTGATTTCAAGAGGTGCCCAGCAATTACAATAAAATCAGTTAATTATATCCTTTATCATGTTTGTCTTGTTCCCTGTAGACCCACTGGTACTGGTATACAACTTAATTGATGGAAAAGGGAAAACGCTGTTCTTCCTTTCAGCCTCACGTTTTTACATTGCTTTGAATGGTACAAAAGCAAGATGGCAGCCCCATGAGGTCTATAGGACAATCTTACTGATCTCCATAATAACTACATAGCGGGCGTCCCGCACCAAGCGCAAACAAAGTCACCATGGACTTAAGGAGCACCTCTAAGGAAAACATTTTCTGTGAATTCATCTGCACAAATAAATATGGAAGCATCCAAATTAACCTCCGTTTGTCTTCAGAACGCGACTATAACAAGCTGAAGCAAAAAGGGCTCTTTGTCTGTTCATACCAAGATGCAAATTCAGAATGTAGATTGTGTCATTTGGAGAAAACAAACGAAACGAGGGGGAAACCTCGCCCTGTGCTCTTCGTGGATAAACCCTTGTGCATGCCAAACGGTGACCCCCCGATGTCACCGTTTGGCATGCGCAAGGGTTCATCCACTACGAGCACAGGGCGAGGGCTCCCCTCGGTTTTTTTCTGATTTTTTTTTTCCGAATGACGCAATCTACATTCACCATTCGCATCTTGGCATGGACAAAAACAAAAGCCCTTTTCAACTTGTTATAGTTGAGTTCTGAAGACAAGTCACACTGCATTCAATTTGGATGTTTCCATATTTATTTGAACAGATGGTGTTTCCTTAGAGGTGCTCTCTAGTTTGGGGCCACCAATGTAGCTGTCGTCAGGGTTGGAGTAGCTTAGCGTGCTTTTGTGAGCGGAATCACACAGGCGTCATTAAACGTAACGTCTCCCAGACGATCGCGATGCTGAGCGGATAGTCCTCGATCTCAAGGCATTATTCTGTCAGTATTTGAAGATCAATGGCTGTTCTGATTGTGGCGAAAATCTGGCGATTAGATATAGTCTTATCATTACTTTGGACTACAAAGGACACTGTTCATACACCAGGCCCGGAGCTGTTTATTAGAGAGAGTTGCGACATGAGTGTCTCAATTGTTGGAACCCAAATGAGGAACTATGCGTCAGTACACATGGAAAATTATCACACAACAGCTGCGTGCTGTACTGCACACATAATGAACAGCCATTTTGGTTCCAAAATCTGAAGTTGGCGCAACTCTCTTTATTTACTGCTCTTTCCAGGCATGGAGCCCAGTATTGTACCAAGTGCCAATAAAGTACATTTCGGCTGTTGGGCATTTCACGCGAATCCCCAATTTATGTATTTCGTTGTCGCAAAGTGAGGAAGTGATCACACTATGGTCATCCCCTCCCCTTGTCAACAATTGCTTGGGGATATGACCCCCCTCCGCAAGAATTAGTTCCATGGCTGTTCCCCATTTTGCAAGTCAGGAGTTTGGGTTCTTGTTTATTGATAATAAAACCATACAATAAATTGTCAAAAAATCCTTGACAGTAAGATGACCATCGTTTTCTTGTTTTTTTTTTCTTTTTACAGCGGTTACATGGGGACCATGTTTGTCCACCGACAAAACTGGATTTCATTCTGACTCCACAAAACGAAGTGAGGTGCACCACGATTCCACAAAGTGTTGAATCTCGTCGTTTTTTTCTCGCTGTTATTCTTTGCTTATTACTCTATGATTTAGATAAAACTGTATCATATTAACAAACTCGGCTTGTTTCATTAATGAGTAATTAATGTGTATCAATAAAACAGTCCAGTCATGCGCTGCGCTCGAAACATTTTACTTTGGCTGACAGTCAAAAGTGCATGCAAAACGAATTAGCCAGTTCGATATATCAATTTCAAAAAATGTAAGGTCGTTCGAAAGAAAAGAACACTTAAGAGTCAGCGTATGGTCGCCCTGATAGGGCAGATCTCTGATGCGCACGTTGCTGTTCCCGCATTACCTTGGACACGCTTCACACTGCTAGAGAACCGAAATGGCTCGTTCAATAATGGTACAAATTTTTGGGGGGAACATATTCTGCTTACCGTTTGCCAATCTCCTTTTAAATGTCCAAAATATTGTTTGATATCTCTCTTTGGATAGTTGCTCTTATGGGAAAGTGAATCATTTAAATATTTATAGTTGAATTGAACATATTTAACCTAGTGAATGATGGCGCTGTTGTCGAGAGGTCACATTCAGGAAGACAGTGTTAATAAGGGGATTCCACTGGGGCCCCAACTGGCTGCTCGTTGGAAATAAAATTGGTGATAAGAATTTTTTTCAACGGCCTGCTGTCAAGTAAATACAACAATGAACCAATAACTCTAAAACGCCAAAATATGAGCAGATCTTAATTGGTGCTGGAAAAGGTGTGAAATTGAGGTTTCTTATCGGAATGATATCGCTGGTTTGCTCCTGAGTATGTGCATTGATGCCGGGCAGATTCTCTGAAAATGGCAAAAGAACATTGCAAATAAGGTTCAATGGGAGAAAGGGTACATTTAATAGGATCAGAATGTGTCAGAAACCTTCACTGCACGGGATCTTCAAAATTTGGGAAATGTAAGAGGCAAGAGTTCATTCTGGTAAACGTATAAATGTATATTGTAAACATACTGAAATTATCATTGTTATTGTATAAGTAGTAAACTAATTACCTAATACGGCCGCTTCACAAGAGTGCGCCACCAAGAGTTTGCAAGGCGTTGGCCAATCACAATGCGCGAAATTTGTCGACCCAATGCGCGTTTGGATAGGGTCGACAAATTTCGCGCGTTATGATTGGCTGACGTGTTGCAAACTCTTGGTGGCGCACTATTGTGAATCGCCCGTATTTTGTTCATCCTTCAATGGTTATTAAAAGAAGATTGTAGTGTTAATTTGCTGTCTTTGCATTGCTTAATTTACGAGTATAGTTGTTTTTAGAGCCTCATCTCAATAGTAGTGCGCCTCCAAGATTTTGCAATGCATTGACCAATCACAGTACGCGTTTAGAAACGGTCGACAGATTTCACGCACTGCAACTGGTCAACGCTTTGCAAACTCTTGGAGACCCACTATTGTGAATCGCTCGTATGGTAAATTGCAACTCTCTTTGATTAAGTATATTTGAATGATGCAGAAATGTAAAAATGACAACTAGAGACAGGCAATATGCAACATACCCCTTTCTTATATGCTATTGCGTTCATTCTTACTCTTTGGGCTGTTCTAATGCTTCCAACCGCGTCACTGCCATGTTGAGCAATACAGAGGCTGTCCCCTCTGCTGAAAATAAATCAACAACTTGGGGCGAGGTTGCAGCATACTGCATTGACTAGTCTCCATTCAAGCATCGATTTCATTCTTTGTCGTGAAAATTTGAACATTGCGGTGTCGTATTTACATCCAGGTTTAGGAACTAGACTCGTGCGGAAGTCAGCTGGAAAGTGCATTCATTAATGGTAGCTAGGTGCACATTTTGTTGTGGTCTAGACAGGTCTCGGGGTAGCCTTGGTCAAGGCGCCCCTCATTTGTCGCAGCGCAACGCTGATCAGCCGCTCACTACCTGCGTACGTACATACCTCACGGAAGTGTATAATAAAATCTGGACTCGCAATGCCCTTAAGCAGCTTATAGAGGCATTGAATCCACTCGCGGCCATTTCACCGAGCCGAATACAAAGCTTTCCTGGCAATGCCCGCATTTGTTCTTCCTGATGTTGATAGAAGGGAGCCAACCTACGCATTTGTATTCGGCTCGGTAAAATGGCCGCTGGTTGGCTCCTTTTTCTTACAAAGGCGTTGCAAGTCCAGGTTTTTTATATACGTCCGTGACATACCTGCATACACTGCAGAATCAAGGTGAAGGGCGACATCACGTGGCCAAAGAAATATGCAAATCGGCTGAACCAGGACAAACTCCTTCGTGCAACCGTCCGCGGAAACTTATGTTTTTCTTTACGTTTGCACGGCCTCATATGCGAATATGAATAGATGCCGGCGTGCGATGAGTGCACAGTGACCAATCTTAGCGAAGTACACATGTACACATGCATAACGCATCAACGGGAACTGGCATACATGATAACCATGTGAAATCCTTCCAAGACTATGATATTAAATCAGTGCTCTGAAATATATGATTGCCGAGCTTTCGGTAACTGAGTACCTTCTTCAGGGCAAGCGGATTCAGTTCTGAACGAACGCGGAAAAATTCACGTTCATTCCCCCTGGATGCAGCGTTCCAAATTCGAAAATGACGCGCTGCTCCAGTTCCTTACGCTGTACATCAGATGACGCTTTCCGCAGGATGCAGACACTTACGTCACCGAGGGAATGTGGCGGTGCGCAAAAGTGCTGCGCAACAGTGAGACCGGGTGTTTGTCGGCGCACACTGTGCAAGTGTTCCGCGAAGCAGTCGCCAAGGCGACACTTGGTCTCTCGGATACATACCCTCGGTGACGTATTTTTCTGAAATCCTTCTAAGATGACTGCAACACGACGATTTGTTTTGCTGCTTGAATTCCGCTAATAAATTAATGTTGGGTGATTTTCGTCCCAAGCAGCAGTAAGCCTTAGAATATTTTCTGCGGGGTCACGACGTTTTCGTGACCCCGGGCCAACAGGCTACGGGAAATCTGTTTTTTTTGTTGTTTTTTTTTCTGGCTGCATCTTTCTGCTCAGAGCTCCTCAGACCAGATACGAAGTCCATAGCATTAGTAATTTCCCCTCTGACGGCTTTGATGCAGGATTAACTCGATTTGTTAGCTGCTAAAGGCATTGAAGCTGCTTGATACACCTTCACCAATGAGACGAAGNAATCAACCAATGGCAGTATAGCTCCTTTGCTGTTTACCGCGAAACACCAGGGTCGATACCGTTTAATTGATACGGACAACTCCATGTGAGGGAGCCCAGTTGTCACAATTGTCATTTAATTTGTCAATGCAAAACTAGAGGTCGCCGACCAACTCTGTATTGTAACCGATGAGGCCAGATAGCATTTGTTCACTAATTTAAATCGTTGGAAAAAATCAATCACAACTAGAGGTGGTGTTTGTGAACAAACAGGGGCTGTTTCGGAGTGTGCTGTTTTACAGAAAGTGTGAAGGATATTATTGCGTGTTTGTTAAAACGCAATCCTACATGTAGATGTAAGTAGTTGATCAAATATATTTGTAACAGTGAAACATGGAAATCACTGATCCACATTACACCAAATGAATGGAGCTCTTGGGACAATTTTTCAGTGGCATTTTTCTATGCTTCGCCCTGGGATGGGAGCCCTTAAATCTAGGGAGTTCATTCAGGGCCATTCTTTCACAATCCAACAAATTCTTGGGCCACACAATCTCCTCTTTTTCAAATAAACTGCAGGGGTACTTTTTGAGCGCCTCGGCCTGCCGAAGAATTTCCCTTGAATTGGGCAGTACACCCCTAGGCATGTGTAGCCGTAATTCTGCAATTGCACCCTTATAGCCTGATGTAGCACAGTCCGAAAACTGCGTGCAATCTGTATACAAAGTCTATGGGAAGGATTAATTATTCAAAAATCAATAACAAATGAACTAATTAGATTATCAATGTAAATTTCCTCTAGGACTGTTCTTGGATAATTGTTCAACTATCTGCCGAGGTTAAAGTTTGTCTGATTTTCCTAACTGCCAAAGTGCTATGTCAGAAAAATTTGGCTGAATAAGGAGAAAACAAAAAGTGAGGAAAACAAGAAACAAACAAACAAACAAACAAACAAAAAAGAAAAAACAGGACGAAAGGCAAGAGCTGTTTCGGCTGATTGCTAATAATAATAATAATAAAAACAACAGCAGATGCGTGGTGAAAGGACTAAAATGATCACACGCGCAAGCTGAGTTCTGCAGTAATGCTCCACAAATGTTCAAATAAGCCACTTTCGAGTTAAATTTGAATAAAATCTGGTACACTGTGTTATCCGATTGCATAGAAACGTAACAATTTGAACTCCCCAGATTGAAGACACCGTTGCTATACCTCAGGGCAAGTTACTTCATAGCGACTGCCATGTCTGGAATGGACTGGTTCCTTTGTGCCCTTCTTATCCATTGGGAACAGTGTATTGTTGCAAAACGTTTCTTATATAACCAAGCAAAAGCTTGCCCCGAATTACGAGGTATAGCAGCAGCGGTTTTAGTATGGCGAATTCAAGTTGTTATGTTCACGTGAATTTGAAGAACCCAGTGTATCAGATTTTATTCAAATTTAACTCACAAATGCCTTATTCTGGCATTCGAATTCCCCGGAAGCGAACGGCTACCCACAAGTAATGTCTTTTGTATTTCGCAGTGTATTATTGTGGGAGGCAGAATTCCACATGTCGGCTTACAATGATGGGTTTCGCTAGGTTGATTTAAAAAACCAGCCCTCCTGAATACATGAATTATGCAAGATAAGCATTCAATTAAATCAACTTGGCGAGGAGGCGGGCCATGTTATGCAGCGTATTCGGATTGGACAGGATTCGTCCTAATCATTGTCTGATGCGCAGAATAAACTGTCGAAACGAAAGAGTGCCAATTTCAAATTACAACGGTCTGCAGAATGTGACCGGTAGCTGTCCAGCTGCTTGGAAGAGGTCCCCCGTCCAGTTTGAGCCGTCAATTGTGCATGCTTCAACTGATAACTTCCGAACAGCACGGTTCTCTAAGCCAAGAATCTCGATGAAATCCATCCTCTTCTTCGTCGTGCTGTTCGCCGCCGGTGTTGGTACGTATTTATTGCGATTGTGCAACCCTGCAGTCTATTTGATCATACAAACACAGGTCGTGGAACACGATTAAGAATGAAATAAGAGTAACTCACCGCTGCACTGAGGAATTAAAACGGAGAACATGACTGTATCAACGGGCAGCCTAGACCACGAGAGAATATGAAAAACTCAATCTACTCGATGGTCAGAGTCGAGCGGTTCTCTGTTGCAAAGCAACTAAGGACAATCCAGCGATGGAGGACTTATTGTCATATCAAGCAAAGAAAACATGGATTTTTTTCATGAAACCTTTTTATGGCCCTAAGGCCACCCTTTAGTGGCCTTTTAAACGCTTCTCGAAGAAAGTCAAATGAAACAGACAAAGGGAAAGCGCATTTGCTTAAGTTGTATTGCCAAAAATGGGCTCTTTTTGTAAGGGGGGTAGGCAACCTTGCCCCAGATGTGCCCAGAACACCCCGTGTTCTAGTCAATAATTTTTTAAAATTAATTTTCGAGCCTATCGTATTCATATCGAGCGTGTTTAGAGTAGAACAACCGTTTTACGATTATTCAAGCCACATTAATTTAAGCATATCCTACAGAGAAAGTTTTGCAGTAACCTTGCGTGACTGATTTCTTCTCCGAGAAATTATTCAGAATTGTATGATCCTGTTTTCCGTCATTTTTGTTATCTTTGTGATGTGCAATGGGGTAAACGGTCCATCTAGAGACATCACTTATTTACTCTTGGAGTGGATTGTAAGCCTTCAGAAAGTGATAGCGTGCCCCCAAGAGTCAAATTTAGCAGAAGAGGTTGAAGCATTTACTTAGAAAACAGAATTTTTCAGACTAGGGCCTGGTGCGCAGGGTGTCAAGCGATGTCCGTTTATGGAACTCTTTGCAAAATCGAAAAATTAAAAGGGAAAATGAAAAAAAAAATTAAAAAGGAGATGAAGATCACGAATTTGATTTACTTTACCAGGTTTGGACTATTGCCACTGAACAAGGAAGGTTGGACTATTCACCATTCAGGAGTATTTTCCTGAATTCTGTTAAATTCATCTACTTTTAAAGCTTTCTTCGCCTCTTTCGCTTGTCTTGCTTTCATTCAATCTGTAGGGCTTACCCAGCTACGGAAATATAAAGTTAGCAATTGGTATGGATGTTTACTGTTGTTTTGTGCAGGCGCAGTTTCTGCAATACAATGTCACCAGTGTTTCTACAGCAACTTGTTTCCCGAAAGCGATTCCTTCTGTGACATCGCGTTCGACGGGAAGGCAGCCGACGCGGCCGCGTCGGTGGTTCAGTGCAACGGACTGTGTGTTGTAAGTACGACCGTACCCGAAAGAGTATCACAAATCCAACGGGCATGTCTATTGCTGTCAGTCGCAGTCGAGTTATTCAGAAATTGCCGTCGAAATTTGCTTACACCTGCTAACAAGTCGCAGAGCTGTATGCGGAGATAGTAAAGCGCAAACGTAACAACTTCGGAACCAATCTGGCATTTCATTATGCGCCCAGTACAGCATACACCTATTGTGTGCTGATCGTCCAATCACTGACGCATGATTCACCACTTTGTTGCCTTATTGGGACACTCATGTCGCAACTTTCTCCGTAAACACCTCTGACAAATCGCTTTGAAGGGCACCCTCTAACAAGCCCCCCCCCTTTTTGAGCATGCATTCTTGAACAGTATTCCTTGTTATTTTTGAAACATAAACCTTTGCACTAATAGGCATTCTGTAAATGGTAGGAAAGATCTATGTTCTCAGAAACAGAAGGGAAAAGAAACAGTTCTACTTCACATACTGCCTTTTGTATGTGAGTCTCCTCTGTCATTTAGGACGAAAAATAAAACGACACTCTCCGAGACTTGAACTTCTTGGATCTACCATGCACCTGAAGTCATTGAAATTCGACACATTCTGTCCATAGATGTAAAGACCACTGCGTCATTTTGGCGTCAGAGACTTTTGATTTGTGCACTCACGGCGGTCCTTAATGTAACTATAATAATTATATAATGGACGAGGCACTTTTTACTTGAAATCTTTTCAGTGATGATTGAATCGTATCGTCAGTTTCATGCATGATTTGATAGATCTCTCTGCGAGTTTTTGCTGGTTTGAGTGCTCGAGCGCATTTCGTAATGACCCTCAACTCATCAGGACACTCTATTTACTCACTTCCTTAGGAGAGCCTGTTCAAAGGCGGATCCAGAATTTTTTCGGGGGGGGGGACAACTTTAATTTTCTTGATGTCGCCTTTGTCACTATTTGGATCTATTATTGATAATTACCTCTGGTAACAAACAAGCTGAAACTGCACAAATATTTGAACGTGTCCACAGATTATGAGATGCAGGGCTGTATTTGGGAATTTTCACTAAAACAGTTTTTTTAACAGATTCGTTATCTTACATTTTGTTTTACCATGCAGAAAAACTATGGAGAAGTCGGCGGCCTTAGCGGTGTCCAGCGTAGGTGCGAAAACATCGCCATGTCCGAGTGCATCAACGGGTGCGAGACGTATGAGGGCGCCACAGGCTGCATGTTCTGCTGTGACACCGACCTCTGCAACGGCGCATCCTCCATGACCTTTAACCTGATGGTGTCGGCGGTTGCCATGCTAGTACTCGCTTGGATATGGCCTCTTTAAACATGTCTGCATTGGTGGATGTATGCCCATATCAAATTTTATTACGATATCTCGTTCACATTCAAAGTATATTTTTGTTTTGCTTTAGAGCGAAGGAATGTCGAGGTAACCAGAAACGTCTCGATTAATAATTACAGGGTAAAAGTTGAATTTGTCCTTGGGTTTCACTTTCAAGTTCAGTTAATTTGACCAATTACTGGTATCGGGGCATGGCGTGACTGTGGGATGGGATGAGATGGGAGGGATACGGGCCCTCGCTCCCAGCGTGCCCTCATCATATACCCCCCCCACTATTTTGGAAAAATAAACACATTGCTGTCAAATACAACACATACATAGTTTTGCCATCGTTTATTTGATTTTTAGTTGAATTCTTTCCTGTGAAAAAAAAACAAGGGCTTGTGAAGCCTAGAGGCGCCAACAAACGATTTAAGAGATATATGGCGTTACAGGGAAACCCCACAATGATATTCCATCCAAATCTAAGGAATGCAGGTTCGAGACCTTAATGAACACGCCGGCCTATCTGATGCCATTTGAGACCCCGGAGTTATAGGAGGCGAAGACGGTTACATCGTGAAACAAGTGTCAGTGATTTAACGCTTTTCAAATGCCTTCTTGGTAACATTTTAAGAACGCATTGTCATCCAAATCTAACCACAATGTGGATATATTTTTTTTTACCAAAGACGTAATGACGTGGTAATGAATGTAGACACAAAGACGCATTTAGATGTTAAAAACAAGATACGAAAACGTTTACCAGACGGCAGAAGCGTAGCCAGGATTCGGGGGGGAGGACACGAGAGGCCCGGGCACCAGCATCTTAAGGGGGGCACCGGATTTCAGTGGTTTGGTTTATGGGGAAAGCTTTTGTTAGCCTTGTACAATATCCATTTATCCGGTTTCTGTAGTGGGGGGGACACCTGGGAGAAGCAGGAATTTGTTGGGGGCACGAGCCCTTCATCAACCCCCCCCCCGCGGCTACACCCTTGCCAGACGGCAACACTTCCTGAAAAGCAAAACATGTTTATCTCCTAAATGGTGTTTAATTTTAAACGATTATATGCTTACAATCAGCTCAAAGACGCGGTGACAATGGGCGTTGGTTTCTGCAGTGTAGGTGGCAGTACGAATGCACTGCTTGACACCCCGGGAACGACGTTGCGCACAAGTCAACTTGACCGCACCATTTCAAGCTTTCAAAGTCTTTCCGGACTGGTTAGAGCCCTGCTTACTGTGATGTCATTTCAGGAGGACAATATGCATCAGGGGATTCTCTGTTCGAACCGTGAACCCATTTTTTTTGGTCATTTAGGTTCTTTTATAATCAAACGTTAATATAAAGACTAGCCTAATGTCCTGAATTGAAACAAAAATGAATCACACGAAAACGTCATTTTGAAACGGCAAACTCCCAAAACTTCCGGCAAATTGTAGTGCCGAAGTGGAACTAGAATGAAATGTGAAAGGAATCGAAATTCCTCTAAAATGGTTATGAAATGCGAGTTTAAATGGGACACGAAAGTCCATTTCACAAGAACATCGTCCAAAGCCACATGACATGGCTCATGACGCATGGCTAGTTCTGGGTATATCTGCAAGGGGTAATTAACAAGTCTTAGTGTGCCCACACTTGGTCGTCCTCCTTCATACTCTTGTGACGTCACCAGATAATATGAGCAATTCCCAACAGAGTGCGCCACCAAAGGTGTCGACAGAAAGGCCTTATGCACGGCACATTGTGGACAATTGTCGATAAATTGTATTTGGAGGCGGTGTGTATTCATCTTGGAGGATTATTTCCTGTGCTTACTTGTCAGAGGAGAAGATTCAAGTATTTCAAGGGTGGATTTGCGCCGGGGAGATGTAAATTAATTTGGATTTTTGCCCTGCCCGTCGGACAGGGCAAAAATCCAAAAATAATTAAGATTCAAGTAGCTTCCATAATCTATCCCTTCGATTTTATTCAAATTAATTAACTGTGCAATGAATATCCCAATCTATCAGAAATTTCTCCAAATTATGTATGTAGCTGTGGTGCTTTTGTCGACCGTCAACCTGAAAAATTGCCTCTTTCAGGGCAGTCCCTTGGTGGCGCACTGTACGGTCCATCAAATCATTGGATAAAGTTCCATTAGTTTCGAAATTCAATCCCTTCCCGTGTGAGGAATGGTCCGTAGCGTGGGAAAGAATGAATTGCCCGCCCAAAACAGTGTGTCTAATTGCGGTTTCGTCGTTGGGGGCGTTGTATTTACAGACCATGGTCAGACACCTTGACTGACTGAGGCAAGTAATTGCCATGCCTACAGGGTGTAGTGAACCAATTCAAGTGAAAATTTCTGCTCAATTCATTAACATAAAAAGTGCCCAGACATTTTCTTTTGAAAAAGAAGATTTTGGGGCCGGAAAATCAGACGGTTTGTGGAAAAATGGGCCAGCATCAATGTCCTGGGTTTGTGAGCTAAAGTTACGGATGGAAAAGGGTCCCCAGTGCCCAAGAAAGTAGAGGGGGGCCATTTGAAAAAGGACTGGGAGCAGCCTTTGGAGCTGTCATTATTCCAGGGGTGAATTTGTTTTGGGGGAATAATTAAAAATGCATGCGGAATAACACACCGAGAATTAACAAGAAATAGAATGACTGGGGTCAAGACAATAATTAGATTGTTTTTTTTCAAACTCCATTAATGCCGACTTGCACGATACTGAGACCTGAACTTTGTTGAGTTTACACTCTTTTCAATGGGGCTTGAATTAGTTCACTGCACCTTATCCTACAGCAGCCGACGTCCAAGGCCGAAGTTCAAAGTGGCTTGTTCAATACTCTCCTTCGAGCACGCGCGCTGAAATTGTTAGACAGGGCAATAAGATGTCGTGGATGTCAATGATTAATTAAAATACGCGGGCTCGGCTTTGCGCGCCAAATTCCACTCCGTAGGCTCATCCGACGGCGACAGAGTAGGCTGGTACACGCTGTTCAAACATGCACTTACATATTGGCGGTCATCGTAGTTAATGAGTAACAGAGTTTCGATTCACGCGAACTCTGCTGCAGGGCCTAAGGATTAATTAACAGGTTTAAGTTCTGGTCAGCATGGGGGTATGTTTTCGAGCAAAGGGGTTCGTGATTCGAGGAAGGCTGAGCTCACCTCTGATGATTTATTGTTTGAATATCTATACAAATAATGATGCATTACGGTCGAGTGACACCCTGCCCCAAAGTTGTAAATTAAAAAAGCCATGCTATTGGGAGCAGTCATCAGGTGCGATGGACTGTTAGGTTGGGGGTATAGATGCCATGATGGTGTTATGATTCCTCCAGCTCTTTTTGCTTACGTTGATATGCCATAACCTAATATTTGATTTGCTTTTAAAAAGCACAAACAGTGAAAAAGGTCACTCCAATCGGTGGTCAGTTCCAAGCAGCCTTATATCCTGTACTCGGTAAAATGCGGGTTTTTTTTTAAGGTTAAATTTCAGTGTATATGCCAAGAGAACGCGCGGTATATTTCTTCTTTATGAATTTTATAAAAAATCCTCTACCTATTTTTTTTTTCAAAATTATAAAAGCCAGGAGATTGAACAGACAGGATGATGCCAAATTTTGACGGTTGATATTGGCAAAATGAACCGATAAAGAGAGAGAGAGAGAGAGAGAGAGCAGACAAACTTTTAAGAAAAGGAGTCTGGCCGGGAAAAAAGCGGGCGCGGATGAGAAACGAGCATTTTTCATTCGGCCTTAATTAATGGTATTTCACATTGTTACTGCTTAAACACCGTTGTAATCGGCTTATTATTGCTATGTCTATGCGAGGGCTGCAGACCCTTTACATTGTACAAGTTTCTGTTTACTGTTTGGTGTGTCCTTGATTTTTATTTTTTTTTAAGAGCTGCACTTGCTTTCTCCGTTGGCTTGCGTTGCTTTGCTCTGCTTTGTTTTGCGTTGATCCCTTTCAGGTGTCATAATGTACATTAACGCAACTGACATAAGGATTATATATGGGACTCGGTGACAAAGTATGGGCTTTCGTGGTAACATGTCTTCGAGTGCAGTGAACCGGAGCTCCCTGCCCGGTAACCAGAGCTCTGACATGACGTGACGTGACGACAAATTTACGGCGTCTCGTTCAAGAAAGTTTTTTTCCGGTTTGTAGTTGTGAGCGTAGAAACAGCTGTCGCTATGTTTGTTGTGGTCCTAGGACTGCATACCAGCAACATTTCGCCCATGCGCCGGACGACTGTTCTCAGAAAGGCCTCTCCCCTTTGACTTCACCTTCTATCCATTCCATCTCCTTCGTTTGATACAGTTGCATTTCGAGTCTTTGCTTTAAATTAAAGGAATATAGAATCACGTGACTTAAAGTAAATGAAAATGATAGACAGAAACATCGTTAACTGACCTTTTTTTCCAATATTAAGAATGGACGCGTGCGTTGGTGGTTTGTCCGGTTCCACCACGTTCAGTCTCTAAATTTCTCCCAGTGATTCAATTAAGTTGTGTTATGTCGTAAAACCACATGCAGTCAGAAGAGATCGTAGCTTTAAACTAATGTTTTTCTTATGACAAATGTTTTCACATTGTTCTCAAACTAGTCACCCCAATTGGTTAATTAGTTGCAAATTATTGCACTCTACTCGACTCCCCTTTTCCAAAATGGTGCAGGCAGCCCATGCGCGCAGAAAGCGTCGCGAGCCAACCCGATCGAGCGACCCCATTTGTCCAGCAGGTAAAAGGGCTGTTTATTTTTTAACGATGTTTACACTTCGATCAAATAGCTTCAGCAGACCTTTGGACCCGCCGCAACCGTCCATCTTGAAATGTTGCGGATTTGAAGCGCACATTTTTGGACTCTGATTTTTAAGCGCCCTTTCAGCTTGCCTTTTCTGGTTATGTTTGCCCGCTGATCGGTGGGGGAAAACAGGAACATTTCTTGGATTATCGCACTATTATGGCCGTCGAGTGGAGTCACGTCGTTCTCCTGTGCCTGGTACTCTCAACCAGGGAGACGCATGCATGTGAGTGTGATTTTTTCTGTATCAAGGAAGGCCGTTGTTTATCCGTACTCTACACACAAAATGTTGGATCCCCGTCTCGCAAATTTAGGGGAAAATATTTGCACCGTTTTGATTGTTGGAACATTTTGTTTACGGCACTCCTGCCAACTACAGCTTTTGACAAGGTATTCCGGTACCGGCTTATTCTACACGGGTGACCATATGTGGCACAACCATTGAAGGGAAGGGGTGTGTTTCGTGGTGCTGGTGCTGGGAGTCAGACGGGTGTAACTATACTCAAGGGTAGATCCGGGGTAACGGGGATCACGTACCTCACCTGAAGCCTGAATTTATTTTAATCGAGGGAAAGTTGATTCGGGGTTTATCTTATTTCTTTTCCACCCAAAAGCGTGTAAAAAAAATCACAGTGTAGCCTTGCACCTTTAAAAGGACATTAAAGGTAACGTGAAAAGAAATTTTTTTTCTCTCTCTCTCTGCTAGGAAAAAACAAAAGTTCTCCCCCTCTCCCAAAATTCGTTCTCCATCTGTACTTGGGATTTTAAATTAATGACTTTTCATTATGTTTTTAACATGAATTGTGCTTGATTTGTCGCTTATTGTCGCTCAGATTGAAATAGCCGGCGATATTCGACACATTCGATGAGTTTGCTGGAAGTGAAATTTAAAACTCATAAGTTCTTCCAACTTCCAAGCTGGATCAGTTTTATTTAACATAGGC